ATAGAATTAGTCTTACTCCTCGTTTTCTGTCTAAATGCCTTTTCTTTTTCTTGCCTAATTGCTCTGTCTCAAATTTTAGTACTATGTTGAATAGAGGGGGTGAAAGTTGACATACTTGGGATTATTTTTTCTGGGTAATGGGTAGAGGATTGAAACATTTGAGGGAGAAGCCTAGAAGCCTAGATTGCCATGCCTGGAGTGTTAAAGGCAATTCTAGTGTAGGCTCAGAAGTAGACAAGAGTTTGTACAGAGAGCCTAACTCATCTTAGAGATTATTTAAGTAGTATTTTTCAGAATATTGGTAGAAAAAGGAATATTAAAGGCCATTTTGATGAGGTGACAGTTGGATATGAGGAACAAGTTATGGAAAACTGGAATAAAATTTTTCCTTGTTACAAAGTTGCAAAGAAGTTTACAGAATTGTGTTCATGCCCTAAGGCTTTATGGAATGTGGATTTTATGAGCAATTAGTTAGGATATGTGGCAGAAGGGATACCGAAACTGCAAGCATTCAGGGTGCTGCATAGATTGTTATGGCCACTTAGAGTAGAATGAGAGAAGAGAGATAGTTTCAATCTAGAATTTATTGATAAGAAGGGAAACAGTGGCAAAATTTGGGAAATGTCCAGCCTGGCCAAGTAAAGACTAAAAACGCACTTTTAGGAGAGCAAACCAATGGAGTAGCCAAGCAATCATTTGCTAAGAAAGATTAGTATGTATAGAAAGGGGGGAGGTGCTATTCATCAAGACAGTAGGAGAATGACCCCACAGACATTTCAGAGATCTTCAAGCCAACCTGGGACCTGTAGGACAACGTTTCCAGAGAAGTGCCATAGGGACCTCAGTATTTGTTGCTCTTCACAATGTGGGGACTCTGCACCCCAAATATAGGACTGGCATTCAAGTCATGTCTCAAAGAGTGGATTTATTATAAAAGCAAATTCGGCCCCCTCTTGCTCAGTTGCTCTAGCCCTCTCTTGCCATTCTGACTTGTGCCATGGGATGACAGAGGCTGAAGAACAAAACCAAAGGTCAGTTCCATGTTTTTGGACTTTCCAGAGTCTAGAACCATGAGAAATAAACAACTGTTTTAAATAAAGCACTCAGTCTGCTGTATTCTTTTATACAACACAAAATGGATGAAGAAAGGGCACCAATGCATTTTTGATTATAATTTTGGGGAAAGAAATATGCTGCCTGGCTCACCTAGAGGCAAATAATCTCCATAATGAAATTTATAGGCATACCAGGGATAGGGAGTAAGAAATAAAATTTCAGTCACCTGATCTGCCGTTTCTACCCTGCCATATAGTAGTTTTGTATAGTAATAAATGCTTCAGGTTATGTTTTGTATAACCTCATAAGAGTGTTAGCTATTTTAAATTCATTTTAATTAAATATTCTGGTAAATAATTGGCCAAATAACTTTATCAAATGTTTCCTAGGAGAAGCAAAACTGTAGCTTCTTGGTTGAATCCTTGGGGTTTTCTAGATATAGCATCATATCGTCAGCAAACAATGAGAGTTTGATCTCTTCTGTTCCCATTCGTATGCCTTTAATTCCACTCTCTTGCCTGATAATTTATGAATATTACAAAAACCTTTATGTTCACAAACTGGAAAATGTGGAGGAAATGGACAAATTTTTAGAAACACACCACCTCCCTAGGCTCAACCAGGAAGAAATTCAATTTCTGAACAGACCAATATCAAGGACTGAAATTGAAACAGCAATAAAAAACATTCCAAAAAAAAAATTCCCGGACCAGACGGTTTCACACCCAAATTTTACCACACCCACAAAGAAGAACTGGTGCCTATCCTGCAGAAATTATTCCACAACATTGAGAAGGATGGACTCCTCCCCAACACGTTTTATGAAGCCAACATATCTCTGATACCAAAATCAGGAAAGCATGCATCAAAAAAAGAAAACTACAGACCAATATCCCTTATGAATATAGATGCAAAAATTCTCAACAAAATTCTAGCTAATTTAATTCAGGTGCTTATTAAGAAAATAATCCACATGACCAAGTGGGCTTCATTCCAGAGATGCAGGGATGGTTCGACATACGCAAATCTATAAATGTAATTCACCACATAAACAGAAGCAGAAGAAAAAACTATATGATACTTTCAATAGGTGCAGAAAAGGCATTTCACAAAATTCAACACCCTTTTATGATAAGAACTCTTAACAAAATAGGCATAGACAGGGCTTACCTAAAAATGATACAAGCCATTTATGACAAACCCACAGCCAACATCATACTGAATGGGGAAAAATTGAAAGCATTCCCGCTTACAACTGGAACCAGAAAAGGTTTCCCACTATCTCCACTTCCATTCAACATAGTGCTGGAAGTCCTGGCCACAACATTTTTCATTCTTACCAGTAATCGTCAATGTTCCTATCTGTACATAATTGTTACTACTTGTAATTTTGTAATTTTTGTGTCACTGAAAGTGATTTTGACTTCCTTGTCCTTCATGACCAAAGATATTGAGCGTCTTTTCACATGCTGTTTCTCATTTGAGTATCTTCTGGGAACATATGATATTCATATCCTTTGCTTATTTTTTAAATTGAGTTTCACGTCTTCTTGTTTTTGAGCTGTAAGAATCATTTATTTAATCTTGACATTAAACCCATTAAGGTGTTTAACTAACCCATATTAAATAAATGATATGAAAATACTTCCTCCCATTTGGTAGGTTGTCATTTTATATTCGAATTATGTCCCTTCATGTGCAAATATTTTAATTTTGATGAAGTCCAGTGTATCTATTTTTTCTTTTGGTCATTTAGTATCAAATCTATGAATACATTGGCAAATCTGAAGGCATTAAGATTTACCTGGTATTTTATTCTAGGACTTTCATAGTTTTATTTCCTTTCCTTGAATTTTCATCTAATTTCAGAATTATTTTGAGTATTGCATGAGGGTTGGGGCCAACTTCTTTCCTTTGCATGTGATTATCCAGATGTCCCACCACTGTTTGTTGATGAAACTCTTCCTTTACATTGAATGGTCTTGCCGTGCTTGTTAGAAATGAATTGACGATACATACTAAGGTTTATATCTAGATGTCAATTCTACTTTTATGATTGTGCTTGATGTCTCCACTCATGATAGTACCATAGCATTTTGATAATTATAGCTTTGATTGAAGTTTTGAAGTTGGGAAATTGAGTCCTCCCCCTGTAGTTACATATGAATTGGGGATTGGCTATGCCATTTTTACCAAAGAGGCCATTGTGATTTTGAAAGGGATTACACTGAATATTCACATCATTTTGTAAATCAATTGCCATCTTAATAATATGATGTCTTCCATTTCTTGAAGGTGGGATGGTTTTCCATTTATTTAGGTATTCTCTATTGTTGTTATTATCGTGAGCAACAGTTGTCAGTTTTCATCATATGAGTCTTTCCTAAGGTTGCCCTAAGGTTTTTAGGCCTTTTGTCCTTTTCGATGCTATTGTAAATTTAAGCATTTCCTTGATTTAATTTTCTGATTGTTCACTGTTGGTGTATAGAGACACATCTTAGCTTTGCATTGATCTTGTATCCTGAA